TCGATTTAATTCGCACTATAATTTGAAGGAGAATTCCGCGATAAGAGCTAAGGTCGAAGAATGGGAAAATTGCCTAGTTGGGAATCAGGTGGACTTCCTGAGGGTGCGGACCGACGCACAATTGGCAACGTAAGATTTGACCTTGGCGACCTAGCAGGCTCACTTTTGGCACGGTTGACGAGGCACGCCCACCTACTAACTAAATACTCGCCTCATCCCAGGTCTATACTTGGTGAGTGATTAGATAGCAGAGAGAGCGTAGTATTCAAGAGGGCATAACGATGAAAGTGACACCAATGGACAAAAGCACCGACGGGCAAGGAAGGGGTTCTCTTTCTCGGGTTTCGAACCGTTCCATAAGCTTTCTTCTTAACCCTGTTCCACTGACTTATTTACAATGAGCCAAGTTCCACCGTAAACCTTGCCCTAAAATCAATGTAGTTGCGACTGCGACAACTGTAGTTGCGTGAAGCCAAATTCCTACTATGCGCCAGAAATTCTGATGAGCCTCCGACGAATTCTTAAGAAAATGCCAAGAAAGGATTTCCTGCAGGTTATGGAATCAAAAAGCCATTCTATAAAAGTTAAAATGGCTATTGCTCAGAGACGGGCTTTGAATTTCTTAGCCAAAAACGAGGGAGGGAGATTCATGACGCTGCGCCCAAAAAATTTGATGTCTCATTCAGAGCTTCGATCAGCAAAACGACTTACGGATCCTTCACAGCAATAATCATAGGGTTGTTGAAGCGTCAAATGCTTCTGTTGGAAGCATCTTATCCGTTTTTGATTGAGGTCATTTTTCCATGACGTCCCTCACCTTTTTGAGGTTCATCGCGGTCGCTTGCAATACGGTCAAAGTCCCTATACCGCTATCGCCGTACCCATTTCAGTTGACCATGACAGCTGACAAAGCCGCCATATTCATTTTTCTGACCCGGTCCAGTGACACCTTTCCCAGGCTCATCTCCGCATCCTCATTCTAGTAGAGTGGAAGCTTCCTTTCGTAGAAGCACCCTGATGCGCCTTCGATTGATCCGAATGGACACCCACCATTTCATCCGCGTTAAACCGCTCTTCACTACCTTCAGCGGCCTAATTGATATCGAAAATCCTACATTCTTACTTCTAGCGTATACGAATAGCTCTGCACCCTCCTCTGAGCTCACAATTTTGGTGTTCTTGGCATTCAACAGAATCCCTCCTTCGGCCAGTACATACTGCCATTTCTGTACCTTGCCCTGAAGTTCTCCTTTGCTATCGTTATCACGTGTGCCGCTAGCATGGCCTTCGGCGGCCTCCCCCAGGAGGCCCGCACGCCATGACGTCTAGCGATAACAAGAAGAAGGACGGACTCAACGCTGATCCGTGGTGTGCACCCTCCCTCATTGATGCACATTTTCTTTTATAAAAAAGTGCAGTGCGGGGGACACTAAGATGGCATAGTGCTTGGATCCGAAATATTCCAGAAAAGTCTAGACCAGCAGCTTTCGATGGAGTTCACCACCTGCGAACTCACGCCGAGTTCGCAGTTGTTGAAATCTTTCGTGTCCCACTTTTGATTCCACTCAAACATAGAGAAGAAAATTCTAAATTTTCAGGCAACCGACATCCTTAGCGCGGCTATAGTGTTGACGAATCGGGAGAGCCTCTTCATAGTAGCTCTTCTTCTTCCATGGCTCGAATGGTTCTCTAACACTTTCTCAACCATCACGTTTCCTGGTTCTCAACGAACCTAATCAACTAACCAGCTGGGACCAGCCGTCACCTCAACTTGTTGCCCTTGTGGGAGTCACCTCGTTCGGACGTCCATTGAAGTAATGTTCCAAACTCCTCGTGAGTAGGCTGACTTCTCCAGGATTGCGCAGATGTTTTTAACACCCTTTGCCACTCCGATGCTTCGAGTAGCTCGGTACCGAGACTCAGTCAGCTTGCAGACTAGCTTCTTTGTTGTGTGCTTTTTAACGTCTCACAGAAGGGCGCTCATTTGCACATTTTACGTCAGCGACGGCTGCTGACGGCGAGGAGGGTCCACTGGCTCTTGTACACTGCAGGGACGAATGGAGATGTTGCTGGCGCCTGCTCGAGCAAATGGATGATTAACGAGACGGCAGGTGATAATACAGACTCTAAGAGAGAAAACAATTTCATCCTCCAGTTCGCGTTCATGAGGTGCAACACTTGTGTCAGTATCATGACTGGAAAATTAGATAACAAGGCGTGGCGGACTAGAGTGGTAGGTCCTGGAAATCAGAAGGCGCATTTTGAAGGAGCGAAATCATAACTCTCAAAGCCATACCTATTCGAGTTCATGTTCTTCAAATTCGATTTCACGATGTTGATAGGCGGCCTCTCAGAAGGGCGTTCTGTCCAGCAGTCACGAATGAGATGAAGCTGAATTGTCGATACAGTGAATTAACGCCATAGGGTAATAGTCATTTTCCGAGACACCACATTCCACTTTCTCTTGTTTTCCTCAGCACACTGGCGACCATGACGCCGAACGTCCTGCGCCACCCTAGTTTCTAAATGCGCTGATTTCTCAATTTCTCTGCCTCAAATATCGGTTTGTGAGACAATAGTGGTTGTTTGTGCTACATTTTTCACAGGATAGTTTTATAGCAGCTTAGTTATTATTTTTATTATTGTTATTATTATTATTCTTATTACTATTATTGTTATTATTGGTTATAAATACAACACAACAGAAAACATTACATCACAGCAATTTCCGATAATGCATGTGAGAAATGAAAAGACCAAAAGACTATCAATTGCAAGAGCCTAAAGCGGCAATGTCATTCAGGGGTAATGGGATGGTTGAAGGAAAGAC